TATATATATATATATATATATATATATATATGTTTAAGACCAGAACAAATTTTATTTGTGATATCTGCATAACATTAGAAGAAACTGTACTGTCAAGTAAATCAAAATAAATCAAGTGCACAAAATGATGTTTTTATTTTTATTGAGAAATACTATATTCCAAAGAAGCATAACTGCAAAAGCAAAATATATTATTTAAACTGTTTACAGGAAAGTTCTAAGAAAATCAAATAGTCACTTCCCATAACATATGTAGTACTTTAAAACATGTTCTAATTGTTAAAAACATATACACAAATATTTACTTTCCCTTTGTAAAGTTCAATTTAATCTAATCTATAACACTCATGGAATAATTCAATTAAAAGAAATCAGGAGACATTTAATGAGGAACTGTAATCACTGAAATTTTAATTTAAAACAGTTTGCCGTTTTATGACTTACTTAAATCTCTTTTTTTCTTCTATTTTGTAAAAACACTTTTTTTAAAAAAGAAGCAAAAAGCCTTCTAACAAAGTAAGACTTTACTAACAAAAGGATTTTTAAGCTTTGTAATTTTTTTTGCATAATAATCATCTATATAATTCAATGTACTCACATCTTGATTAGACATCTCCCAATAGGGCCTCTCTCCATAGGACATTACTTCCCAAAGAACAATACCATAGCTCCATGCGTCACTGGCTGATGTAAATTTGCGATAAGCAATAGCTTCTGGAGATGTCCAACGAATTGGAATCTTGCCTCCCTATAAGGCAAAATCACCATAATCACATATATCTGTGCACTCTATCTTTTGAATAGAAATCTAAACACAATAAAAACATTGTTGATTACCGGTATTTATTTGTTTGTTACTTACTTGCTTTCTTACTTGCTTACTTACTGGACTTATATGGCCACCAATCTCATAAAATGACTCTAGAGGGCTCATATAACAATCTATGTAACAGTCTTTACCAACGAGAAAGCCAAGAAGCTGACTTCATTGTGGCAGTTTAAAGTTTGATCTAGACACGGAACAAGTTAATAATCTATACAACATAGTTTAAACCTTCCCTTTCCCTCCAGATGCCAAACAAAATATTCTTTTAAATCCTATTTTCCCATCTTGCACTAGTTATCAGAATTAGTCCCTGTATGTATGAAGAAGTGAAAAATAATGTTACTTAGAAGGGCAGACTATTTCTCTTAATTAAAGAATCTGTTTGACACTACATAGTTTGACACTAAGAACAGAAGGAGTGGGAAGAATTCTGCTTTATGGATCTTCAAAGAAGAATGCAATTTGAAAAAAGGAATAAAAGCCTTAGAGTAGTAGTTAAGGGTTTATGTAATCTTTACCATTGTGATTGAACACAACAGAGCAATTAAAGGACAATGTACTTGCTATCACTATACTGAACAATTGCAGTCAGAATAAAATGGTTGCATATGCACAAAGCATCTGTACCTAGTTAAGATGTATATGCAGTTTCTCCATATTATTTGTGACTCAGATAACTCTGTTTTGTTGCAATAAGAACTCACCCTTGTTGTATAGGCAGCTTCTGGATCATCTTCCAATATGCGGGAAAGGCCAAAATCAGACACTTTGCATACTAAGTTACTGTTGATGAGTATGTTGCGGGCAGCAAGGTCACGATGGACATAACCCATATCTGACAGATACTTCATGCCAGATGCAATTCCTCGAAGCATTCCCACCAGCTGAATGACTGTGAATTGAGCATCATGTTTCTGCAAACAATTTAAACAACCTTTTAGCCCTTCAGTTTACATAAGGCTTCTATTCAGAAATAATCTACACAAGTCAGTATAGCTTGGTTTTGAAAATAGTGTGCCGAAATGCATCAGTTAAAGCAAAGATAAATTTGATACATATAGCCAAATATGACATTTCTCTCCCCCCCCCTCTCTCTCACTTGTATCCTCTCTTACACACATAGTCGAAATATAATGTTTACTAACCCAAACCAAATGATTTCATTTTAATTTCTTACGTTAAAATAATACATGTGAACTTTGATAAACTAAGATTAGGTATATTATAGATTCAAAATAAAGCATTGTATCTAAACATGATCTTTGACACAGGACTGCTGACAACTATTTTTCTATAAGCCTAATAAAGCATCATTTTTTTTTCCTGGCAAAGCACAATGGCTGTTAGCAGAATTAAGCAGTTCTATTATGGATATAGCAGCTGAAGTTGCAGGATATGTTAACATTAATATTGATAAGATTTCATTTGTGTGGGTTTTTTTGTAGTTTACCTGATGGGTATACCAGAGTCATCTGGCTACAATACATTGTGTAAATCTATACATTAATTGTTTTCAAGTAATTAGGTTAAGAGTGTTCTATGAATGTAACCAATATGCAGATCATCCATTCTTTCCAGATATCTATATGTGGAATTTATTCTAGAATTGAAATGGAAATTATGACTCAAGATGCAGTATATATATAAGCTGTCAATTACAAATACACACACACACACACACACACATACACACACACACACTGAATTTCCTCTAAAATGAAATCTTAGTTTAAATGCTTAGCAATTCTGATATTAGACCAAATATTGCATGAAATAAATATAATGGTTTGGTGTAAAATTATGGTATAAATTACCATTATTCTAAAAGCTGTAGTTGCAAATAGAGCTTCATGTTGGGATAGTTAAAATCTGCTTGCTCAATAGAATGAATGCCTAAATGTGTGATCTTACTATTGATATTACAACTATCTAATGATGCTTAGAAAATAGTAGACTTAGATCTTACTTGACTTGCTTTATTGCTTTGTTGACAATAATGTTTGATTTTATCACTCTTTTCATAAAAAGTAAAAACATTTCAAAATAATTGAGGATGCATTCATCTAGATATTTATCTCTTTAAGATAGTGGAAGGTAATTTTTAACATAATAATTTCAGATAATTATAGGATGATATCAACAAGTCACTTACCCTGAGAAAACTATCTAAAGAACCATTTTCCATATATTCAGTAATAATCATGACTGGTTTACCTGAAAAGTGTATTAAACAAAGCAATTAATTGTATAACCATGTACAAAAAAAAAGTCAACATTGAAAAATTCTACAAATTATCAAAAATATGCTAAAATATTCCATAGTATTCCAAAACTGAAAGTTGCTTTTAGCTGCAAGAGTTGGATATAGCGGACATGTATATAAAAGTTCAACATTCCATCTCTATATATCTTTTTTCTACCTTTATTATTATGTCACATTTACAGAAATGATATTAACATGAGATCAGGTCTCTACACAAAGGATCCACATTTTATTGCAGTAAGTTTATATTTAGTTATTAGATAAATATAATATTTATTTATTTAGCTACTGCTTATTTTTTTACCTTTATTTATCTAGTAATTGAAAAATCAGTTTAAATTATAATATTTGTTCAAAAGTAAGGCAAAACCATAGTTAGAAATAGATTTATTGGAAGCAATCATTTATTTATATATTTTATATATCATAAAATAATTAAAAATATTTAAAAAGATAAAATTTAATATGGTAATATCTAGAATAATATTATAGTATAAACCTTCTAGGTTATTAGGTGCAGTAATTAAGTAGAAATTTCCATCTAAACTATATGCAATCCAAAAAAACTTAATGATAATATAAGGACCCAAGCTTCTATTTTTTCTGAATTTTATTCCTATATATAACAAATATATGAAAAAAATGTTCATAAATACACATGTACTGTCTACATGTATGTTTATTATAAAAAGATAATGCACAAAATAATATAATTATTAGCTCTAAACCAATGGTCCTCAACCTTTATGGCACCAGGGACCAATTTTGTGGAAGACAATTTTTCCATGGACCACAGGTTTTGTTTCCGCGCTCTCACCTGCTGCTCACTTCCAGTTGTGCGGCCTGGTTCCTAACAAGCCTGTGTGCTGGGGACCTACTCTAAACTATTCACTAAGAGAACTATGTACCATGGAATTGCACACAAAGATACATTTGGATTATCAATTCTGCATTTGAAATAGAATGGACAGAAACAAACTTACAAATTGTTAAAACAACAGGACTTTTTAAAGGGTGTATAATCTGATGCCTAATATATATTATTTCTTGCTAAATTTCCTTTTGTTTATTTGATTCTCTATTGGGGGGGGGAACCAGCATCTGTCTATTCTAGGAATACTAGTGCTTTAGGCAGTAATATACAGGACATTATTGCTATTGTTGGCAAAAAAAGATGAAAGATCTGGATATGTAAGAACAAAAGATTACCATAGCAGAGTGCCATCATGTTCCACTATGACTAATTAGCCAATAGCAAATGTGCTATGTTTAATTATCCCAAGTGCTAAGTAGTTGAGGAATAGCATTTCACATCCTCTATTCTAACAGCCTTTTCACTGTCTAATGACAACTGAACACAGTTCTTTCATGTGGCCTTTTGTGAAGAAACACTGCCATGATTATGCTCCAATGAATCTTTACAACAGCCCATAACTCAAATGTTTCTAGTCAAGTCTGACATAAGTTATGGCCTGGGAACCAACTTCCTCCCTCCCAACATACATACAACATAATCCACTTAGCAACTGCTTTAGCCCATTTGGGATAAGGGTACTCTTATTCACCACTTTCAATTCATTGTCAATAAAAACACCTGAGTGTAGTATGGTATTGACTTAATTTATTAATAATTACATTTCATCTGAAAACAGATGCCAGAATTATCGACTGATTTTGCAGCATGCTGCTTTTCCAGCGGAAACATTTTTGAAATGATTCTAGGTATCTGGATTGATAAAGTTAAACCACTAATTTAATTTTAATTCATTTTATTTTTTAATTAATTAAATTAATTAATTTTAATTTTATCACAGAAACATAGTCTTTATACCTCAGCCAGGAAAGAGTTTAGCATAATTGGGAAATTGTGCATGTTTTAAAATCATTTCAACCACATATTGCTGTATTCCATCTCAATTTTCTTTGAACAAAATTAAGAATATTTTTGGAGAAACAAAGTATATGTAACAACTCTCGCATGTCTTAATATGATTAAAAAACTTAAAGATACTCATAAATTATTTAAATGACTAATTAAAATACAATTGATTTTTATTTTTAGTGAAGTATAGTATTTTTGATAAAATAACGTAAAAATACAATGCCACAATGCAATACAACTATCCAAAATATAAATTAATAAAACAACGAAAACATTTAAAATTATTAAATGCACATTTCCTTCTTTATATTTATTCTATCTGAGCAGATTTTTACATATTTAAGCTGCAAATGAAGAAACAATCTGAAACACATGTTCTAAGGAGAACTTATTTCTAGAGCAACATACTATGTTCATTTGTCAAAATGTAGCCATTTATATGATAACAACTTGTTTCAACAGTGTTTCTAAATTTTATTATAGTAAAAACTGCTGTAAATTATTACTAAACTAAGCAGAACATGTGTGTTGGCTATTAGAAGTGCTGTCTGTAAAGCACCTTGGAGAGTAGCATTGGAGACCAGCATAGAAACAAATATGAAACAGGGGACTAATTCAGCGCTGGAAAAATAGACTGAACTCTTCTTTGCCTGTGCACCTTATCATATCTCTAGTGAGCAGTAAGCCACACAGCTGCTGAACAGTGTATGTGCCAATGTTCTAACCAAGGGTTTCCTACAGATGACAGCCATGAAAGTTGTTAAGAATTATCCCATAATGTGCAATCAGCATGAATAGCTTATTTGTAAAGGCTATCCATCAAAATTTGGTTTGCTACAGAAAATCCCAATGCCAATTAATCATATGTATCATTAGGAAGGTATGGTTGGCACATTCTTTTCAAAAAGAACACCCGTGGATAATCTACAAACTTCCTCTATTTCTTTGAAATAATTCCAGCCAAACTTTAAGGATTATAGAATTACCGGTAAAATATAAGTCAAAAGCACTGAAATATTTTTCATTATAATTTAGCAATACAGAAAGAAAAATATATTTGGGTTTTAAAAACTTAATGGTAATTCAAAAACATTTTTCACAAAAATAATTTGAAAGCCAAAAATAATATAAAGTATTTTTTATTTTTACTTTTACCTATAACAAGCAACTTTAGAATGTACTTAATATTTATTAGGCTGATCTACAGTGATGGCATGCTTGTGAGTATAAGTGCTAGCACAATAGATTCATCACTAATAGGTTACTTCCCCCCCCCCCCTCAAAAAAAACCTCCTCAGAAGTTTTTGGCAAGGAACTATGGTTTAGAAATTTATCGGAGAAGTTTTAAGGAGTTTTAAGAAAGCTAAATTAGGAAGAGACCATAAGAATAACCTCCTAAGGAAGAGATAAAATATTGCAACAGACTAAGTAATAAGAGCATGGGGAAAATACTGATGAGGCAAAGCAGCAAGGAAAAAATTGACAGAAAAGAACTACTTTTACATAATAACATGTTTTGGAGGAACAGGATACTCACTATTGCCCACTGATTGGTTCAGAGGTGGTATTCAGCAGGTTCTGACCAATTCTGGAGAACCGGTAGTGGGAATTTTGAGTAGTTTGAAAAACCTGTTTGACTGGTCCTGCCCCCGCCTATTCTCTGCCACCCAAATCCCAGCTGATCAGGAGGAAATGGGGATTTTGCAGTAACATTCCCTTGGAGAGGGGAATGAATAGAGATTTTACAGTATCTTTCCCCTGCCGTGCTCACCAAAATTTTGAATCTGACCACTGGATTGGTTGTATTGTAAAGTATACCTGAGCGACTTACAACTTTTTTTTTTGAATGAGTCCTTCATTGGCTCTTTCACTAGGATGTTGAGTGGAAAGTGAGGAGACTGGTACACCCAAAATTGGATTGAAACAAATATGCTGAAAACTATGAAATACATAATGAGGATTTCAATATGATCCTACATCATATATCTGAGAAGTTCATCTTTTTATTCTTTTAAATATTTTATGACAATTTTAGAGAGACTCTGAAAGCCATGTCCCAAAGTTTTATAATCTGAGACCTGAGACCACGATAATTTTTCTGATCATTGTTCTATGCACAAGCAAAGAGCCTTTGCAAAATGTGTCACCTCTCCCATCCATCATTACCAATCCATCATTGAAGGATTATGTATACATTATGTATGAATACTATAATGCAGCAGTCCCCATGTTTATGGCTTGGTGGCCCAGCTATGGGAGAGAGGAAAACTGGGCCCCATGAGTGCCAGGCTGATGGTGCACATGTGCCCAAAGCTCTTGCACAAGTGGCATGCCAGCATGCATGCGTACATCTCAATCTGTGTGACAGGGACACCAAGGTGCACATGCATGAATGCCCACTGTCCTGTCGCTTGCACAAGTTGAGCTGCGTGCATGCACACTTCAACCAGTCATTCACACAGCCCATTTCTAAGTAACCAACTGCCTGGTAGTGGCCATGCCCTGGTGTGGGGGGCCATGCTATAATGCATTTGAATAAAGAAGTCAAGCAAAGGTACTGCACCAATAAACTAAAGAAGCTCTATATTACTACAAAAAAGAAATAAATAGTGATGGTGCTAAATACACTGATATAAAATTTATAACAATATTATATTAGTTGTGGGTGAAAAGAAGAGAGGCCTGAGGCTAAGGTGGATATTTAAGGGTTTTTAGTGAACACCATATGAGTAGATAATTAATATAATTCTAGTAATTTAATTAAACTTTTAAATATTTTAAATATTCAGTTCCCCCCCCCAATATTATTATATTTGTGTCACTATTACCAATAAGGAATGTAAATGTATCAATATATTAATCAACAACACTCTTGGCAAGTTATCAGTTGGAAGTTCATATTTGCTACGTTTATGCTTTCAGCTATTACTGCTGTTCAAATAAATGCTGAGTAAGAAATTAAAACAGAACAGTATTACAAAGTTCAATTATTAGTTTTTTTGTTTGCTTCCTGAATATAGTTCTTCAAATATTTGCCAGATGCTGACACCCTGAGGTAATATGCAGTATGATTTTTCAAGTCTAACCAGAATGCCTGCAGCTGTTTAAGAGCAATCAATGTCAAAACCGAATCCAGTACTTTCTAATACTGAATGACAACTGTAAAACATTATCATTTTTATTACCACAGGAGGGTGTACTGTGCACATTATAATTTTAAAAATCTACAATGGATTCATAGCAGGATTCTTCATTTTCTAAAATTGTATTTCAGTATAAATTTAAGCTACAACATTGAAAACATTGTACTTCTTTGTATACCTCACCATACTTCTTTGGATATTGCAATATTTCCATTTTGTAATACTAGAAGATATTGTAATATTCAGGAGCTGCTGTTAAATATAAGCATTCTCTGAACAAAGCCAACATATTTATAGCTCCAACTATACCTGCATTGCATTATAGTCTATTTCACCCACAACTAATTGCAAGCATTTTAGTTAAATTACATGACACGGTAAAGGCATAGCATGTATTATCCTTCTGTTTTAAAATGTATGTAAAATTCTGAGTGTTGAGACTCTGCCCAGATTAAAATTAAAACCTAACATAACATGCCATGGTTTTAAAAAGTTTCCACTGACAATAATGGCATTTTTAAAAAGGCTGATTTATTTGCAGATTTCATTGTAGCTCAAGTGTTACAAAAATCAAAAATAAAAGAGGGGCAGCTAATTTGGAAAAGGATACAAGACATTCTAATGCAAATATTTTAAAAACAAGAATAGCAGTAGACTTATATACCGCTTCATAGGCCTTTCAGGCCTCTCTAAGCGGTTTACAGAGAGTCAGCATATTGCCCCCAACAATCTGGGTCCTCATTTTACCCACCTCGGAAGGATGGAAGGCTGAGTCAACCCTGAGCCGGTGAGATTTGAACCGCTGACCTGCTGATCTAGCAGTAGCCTGCAGTGCTGCATTTAACCACTGCGCCACCTTGGAAGAGGAAAATGTAGCAAGTATTCTATGGCTAACAGAAGCTATTGGTTCTGTCCATCACCCAGAGACTGCAACTGGCTAGAAAATGGGCTGGCAGGGTCAGCTAAAAATTCTGTCTATACAAAACTTACAGAATATACATGTAAGTTGGCACCCAAACATGAACTGCTGAGACAATGCCCGAAAAATGGGAAAATGGTGAAGCAGAGGTAGTACCATAACAAGACCAGTACCATAGTATAGTATAGTACAAGAGAAGACCCTGCATTGGATATATGATCTAGAGATAGCTGAAAATGGAAGCCATTGGGAATGTGTCTGGAATGTCTGAATTAAAAGATAGCACTGAGGCATTGATCATAGCAGCCCAAGAATAGGCATTAGGCATCAGATCCATAGAAGCAGGGGTATACCTGACAGGATCCAAGGTGCAAACTGTGCAAAGGGGCCTTAGAGGTAGTTCAACAGATCATAGGGGGTGTAAGGTATAGGAAGGAAAAGCGCTATAAACCAAGAGACTGAGTTCTAGTCCACCCTTAGGTTTCAAATCCAGCTTAGTGACTTTGGGCCAGTCACTTTCTCTTAACCCAATCCATCTCACATAGTTGTTGTGAGCCAAAGACAAGATGAGTAATATGTATGAAAATATTGGTGACATGCAAGTTGGCTGAGCAGGTCAGATATTTTTAATAAGTTTGCAATTGTAGGCTGGGTGGTAACTGCAATCAAATGGCTTACTAGCAGCCATCAAAAGAAAATAAGGGGGAAGGGATGTTTTCCTTTAAATTCAGATACTCAACGGAAATAGGCCTCAGCAACTTTTCTTTCAAGCAGATCTTTCTAATCTTTCTAAATATTATTTATTTTAGCAGTTAACTTACTTTTGGTGACCACACCTTCTAACCGGATTATATTGGGATGATCAAATTGTCCCATGATGCTTGCTTCTCCAAGGAAATCTCTTCTCTGTTTCTCTGTGTAACCAACCTTCAGGGTTTTAATGGCAACTGATATTTCCTTTTTGGAAGGAAGTTTTAGGCGACCACTACATACTTCTCCAAACTCACCTGTCAGTAAATGCAAACAGAAATTTTTTGAATTTCTAGCTAGAGATCATGACAGATTAACAAGCTCAGAAATCTATACTTTCAGTCTACACTGCGGCTTTTTACTCTTCTGGAATATTGCACATAGTCCAGCTGTCCAATTCTGGAATCCACCTGAAACATTTCTTTTTCTTGAGATATGTATTTTATGAACCTAATGTAATGTCAGATCTCTACCTTAGAGGTTAGTTGCAACATTCCAGCAGAGTAGGAACAGATGTTTCAAACATCTATTTTAAGCAAGACTTACATATGCAAAGTTTTATAAAATTCTTGTCAGTGAACAGTGATGTTCAACAATATAATGCAATAGTTAAGTAATCTGATAAAACAAACTTTGTGAAGTGTGCATGTAAAATGTTTTTGCATGATTGTAAATTTTAAAAAAATCATTTTGTTTAAAGAATCATAGGAAGAGTTGATGAAGATATAAGAGATAATATAATGCATTCAAGAGACCATAAAAACAATAACAACAACAAAATTTAGCAGTATTTGACCCTACATGAAATCACAGCTGCCTGCACACTCTACTAAGGTCAATATTCAAATAAGAACATTAAGTAAATGCCATTAATTTAGAAGAACTTACTGAGAATTGAAAATTGAAATTTAATATTATACAGGTTTAAGCAAAAAAAATGTGCAAGCTTGGTGCTATATTTTTAAGACTCTCATAGCTATTTATGTTAAATTTTAACACCTTTAACACAACTGTTATCACTATGTACCTATCACAGTGTTATAGTCAGAGCACTTTTATTTATAGTCTGCACAAATTTAGCTATTAATGATACAAAATAGAACAGTAAAAATTATAGTCATTTTGAAGCTTGATGTTTAACAAGTGGGCTTTCTTTTCCCTTAAGATGTTCTCCTCATACTGGTATGTAGTAAATTATATTAATGAGTAAACATGCAGTTCAAGGCTATTTTTTCTTGCTCTGTCATAAAGCCCAATTTAATTTAAGTTCTATTATTATTTTTGGTTGGGAAGTTGTCTGAATATACAGATCAATATTGTCTCCATATAAGAGTATTGCACACCTCTCTTTTTAATTCTAGTAGCCTAGCACTAAATACATCATATTCTAACAAAACATCTGTTGCCTTTGGATGGGATGTGTGTGTGTGTCTTCTTCTAATACTTTCTCATATTTTACAGAATATATCAAGCAAATCCAGGCAGGGTTGTTTGATTATATAACAACTAGGACATAAATTATTAGATCATTTACATAAATGTTGAACTCTATATAAAGATGTACCCACAGATGGATAGTGCAATGGCAGAAAAATGAGTAAGTAAAATGATTAAAATGTAATTTGTATTTATTAAAAATTAATAATTAAAATGTTTTAATTGTACTTAAATAATGCTCTTCTACCAATCACATAAAGTATGTAATTTGATGGTGTTTACTGAAAATCATATATTCTGATTACAAAAATACATAGGTACCATAAATGTATCTTCCATATTTTTATTTTGTTTATGTTTAAGACAAGACTCAGTGTTTGGTTTTGGTAAATACTTGGTAAATAATTCCATTAGTATATTCAATTACAGGCTGCAATATTTTAGTCACTATGTTAGGGTCCCTTGTAATTCACTGTTTACTTCTGTTATTTTAAAAAAATCTTGACTTTAAATCATGCAATCACTTCTTGTGATGCAATTTCATCTATGCTACACTAAATATAAATAAATGTATATTTCATTATCACAAGCATTATTAGGAATGTTGAATTGAATTGAATTGAATTGATTTTATTTGTAGGCCGCCCTTTTCCCTGAGGGGACTCAGGGCGGCTCACAGAAACCAGGGAGAGGGGAATACAATACAATACAATACTAAAACAACAACACATAATAAAATAATACACAACATGCATACAACATTCGGGCGGGGCAATGGTCCTTATCCCCAGGCCTGACGGGCGAGCCAGTTCTTCAAGGCTATGCGGAAGGCCTGGACGGTGGAGAGGGTGCGGATCTCTACGGGGAGCTCGTTCCAAAGGGTCGGGGCCGCTACTGAGAAGGCCCTCCTCCTTGTGGTTGCCAGCCGGCATTGGCTGGCCGATGGGATGCGGAGGAGGCCTAACCTATGAGATCTTATAGGCCGTAGGGAGGTAATTGGCAGAAGGCGGTCTCTCATGTTGTTAACAATCTTCATATGAGGCAGCTTCAGTTCAGTACTGTTCTATCAACAGTACTCTCTGGTTTAAAGTACTTCATTAAAATATGGCACACGTACAGTGTTTAAGGTTTTATTTTAAATTATGTGATTAATGTGATTAACAAAATATGGGAATTCAGCATGTGAACTCACATCTTGCAGTATGGATATAAAAAGGCAAACATGCTGCCAAGATATGCCTGAATTCTAGTGATTACATGACATAACCAGACAGCTGTCTTGGCAACAGTGCAGAAATGTTTGCCACTGACTTCTTGTTAAATTATTTGCAGCCTGATATTCTCCAGAGATCATTTAACTCATATGAACCAGGTCTAACCTTGCTTATCTGCTGCGCATCAAAAAGGTCAGCCAGATGCTGCCACCTGCTGAGACTTTATGCATTTACACTCTATTAAGCCATAGGCGTTCTGAAGCTAGGAAAGGAAGCAAGCAAATGGGAAGTGACTGATGATCTGCAATCAGATGAATATATTATTCAACATAGTCTCTTAGTCTCGGGTATCTGTCATAGATCTAATGAGCTTTTTTGAGCTATACAAAATTAAAAAGGCCTGACTTTCCCCATTCTGTGTTTTAGGGAAAGATAAGGATGTATGACCCTGCTGTCCAAGAAGGAACCCTAGATGACTTTCTTTAAAAATTTTAAAATTTGGTTCACATTACAAGCCCATATAAGAGCAATTTGTCTGGTTTCAATCTGAACTGTATGGGAAAAGAAGGTTATAGATGCATACAGATAAATCATGTGCTATATTACATTATTTCAATCCACTCAGAAGATCTGGGATGTTTCTATCAATTTAGGCAGTTCCTGCTCAACCACTTCCATTTTGGTGACAATTTGAACATGAGGTAATAGTAGCTGTAATTGTTTTTTTTCTTCCCAGTTAAGTATGCTCTAAATCAAATCCTTGTTCAGCAGAATCCTCCTTGACATTCTTTTTCCTGCTCCAGTAAGACAAATGCCTTACATGAGCTGAAACCTTTTGTGCTGAAACCTTCATTAGGGAGGACGGGATAATCTATCAATGCTAGGCAAGATAACTCAGTAAATAAGGAAGTAAAATTCATTCAAGGAAGCCTTCATTCATCTCTCATTCTCAACTGTGAGAATGTTGCTTTTTAGAGAACTTAGAGAAGAACAGAGACAGGTCTGCCTCACAACATTCACATCAAAATGATTTCCCTTAAACCATTCTTTCTGCCATGAATTTACACAGTTGAGTTAGACAGATTTTATGCAGAATTATGTATGAGTTCTTTTTGCATTGCTTTGTTCTTTATATTTCCCCATTTTTTTTCTGGTCAGATTCCCCCTCCCTCTTTCAGAATATCTAGAAATCTGTTGGTTGAAAAGTGACTTTTCATTAAATTGTTCTCCATTTTTGTGCAAGATTGCATAGTTGCATGGCTACTCCTTTCAGAATTGGGAATTGGGTTTCCTGAATTCTGTAATTCTGCCTCTGGCCAGGCAGGTTTCTTTTAAAGCTATATAGCTGGGCTGACGGAAGAAGTCCTTGACAAAAGTGCTAAGAATGCTCCAGCTGGACAAACTAGGGTGTGGAAGGAGCATGACCTTAAAGGTTCATTTAAATATACCATGAATTACCTAGCACAGGCCTGTCAAACTTGCACCCATGGGCTGGATGTGTAACACCTGATTTAATGAAAGGGAAAAGTTGTGATACTTCACATGATGCCACCATGACACAAGTTTGACACCCCTGCTTCATGATGTCCCTATTAATTGAATTATATTAAAAATATCTGAGCCATAAAACAATTGAAAAGTCTATGTGTTTTAATATTAAAAAGCAGAATGCACTAGAGGGGAAGAATGAAATTCCTGTTGCAAATTGTATATTATAAGCAGAGTACAAGGTAGAGCTGTCTTCATTTTAATTAGAAATACAGCAAACCACTTATTTGACTATCATTTCCAAAAGTGACCTGAAGAGCCCATTGTTAAGTAGTTGTTAAAAAACCAATTTAATTTATCTTAAAGTCTTGGGAACAAAATGAAAGACATTGAGATGAAATGACATAGCATTTATCGTTATATAAATACTGTAACTGTTAGAAAGCATAAGTGTCTTTTGATTTGAAAACTTTTGGAGTTTTCCAAACCCAATCTGAAAACTCATTGCAGTTATTAGGCAGAATACATTGAACAGATTCAGTCCATATCATTTAACAATCTTTAGCAGAGAATTACACAGATTCAATATCTTAGACTATACATAAGAAATTAAAAAACAAAACAAAACAAAGCCCCCAAGACATGCAGGCGAATGTCACCTTATACTTCCTCCTACATTTACTCTCAATTTCTTTTTTGTATGTTCAAATTTACAATGGCAAGAAGAAACTCGGGTTTGAACTGATGCTAAAGAAAACAGCATCTTCTGTTAAAATCTAAAATGAATGTAACCTTTCTCCCTCCAATAGTTAATACTTCGATAATTAAACATTTCAAAAAACCTTTTAATAGATCACTTTTTAATAGCAAAAACTTGTTTTCACAATCCCCAATATATGTAAAATGATAGCTAAATGAAAACCAGATATTAAAATCCAGATTTATAAAATTTCTATTTTCCTGTCTATTCGAAATGTGTGCCAGTTTACTGATCATCTTTTGCTTTGGAGTAGTGATTGATGCAGTGGCTCAGTGGCTAAGACGCTGACCTTTTAGATCAGAAAGATTGGCAGTTCAACGGTTCAAATCCCTAGCGTTGCATAATGGAATGAGCTCCCGTTACTTGTCCCAGCTTTTGCCAATCTAGCAGTTTGAAAGCATGTAAAAATGCAAGTAGAAAAATAGGAACCATTTTTGGCGGGAAAGTAACAGTGTTCCGTGTGCCTTTGGAGTTTAGTCATGCCGGCCACATGACCGTGGAGATGTCTTCGGACAGTGTTGGCTCTTTGGCTTTAAAATGGAGATGAGCACTGCCTCATAGAGTTGGGAATGACTAGCACACATATGTGCGAAGAGGACCTTTACCTTTACCTTTTAGCAATTGTAGCATACAGTGCTAAATGCTATCTTCAATATATATTACTTGAAATCTGCAAAGTACTTTGCATTTAAATTCAGAAGCAAATTCAAATGTAAATTATATGATTTGTTCTTGGCAAGAGATAGATTGGAAACAGCTGGATTCTGCATTTTCTAATATAGGTTAGTTTTTTTTCCTGTCCTAGAATTCTAAAAGAACTCCATATTTATAGTACATAGGCTGAATTAATGTCTTAATTCCACAACTGTGTGTGACTAAATTATAGATCCTTAAGTGTAGAAATTTTATGTCTTTACAGTACTTCCTATCCTCTAGTTTGGTATCACCTAGGCTCATAAAGATTAACATTCAAACTTAGCACACTAGTTTGTAATAATGTAGTCCTAACAAAGCTTGATCAGTTGTGGAATTTATAGATGTTTTTCCCTAAAGGGCCAGCCAACATTTTGCTTTTTGTGTACTAACACAATACTTGAAATGCATTCATAAATGTTATGTTTCAACTTAGCCATAGCTATAATGATCTGAATGGTATGTTACCTAGGCTGAAAAAGACATTAGCTCTGTCAGTCTGGATGATGTTCTAAACACAGAATGAAAGATAAAAATTCTTTAACAATTAGTTACACAAGAAATTTTATTGAACAAAATGACTACATCTGAAAAGTTTGCAATAGCAATTGGAATAGCATAGCATGGTGATTCTCATTATTAATATTTTTACCTGCCCCAACGACTTTATCAATGGCTATGCTGGAAGCCTCCAGTTCTCTGGCAAATTCATGAACAGCCAGATTGGGATCTTCATACGTATGTGGATCCACATATGTCCTGAGTCCAGGAAGCTTCACTGTGTAAAAAAAAATCCAAGATATATGGATAAATAATCACAAACACAAAAACTTAATGATTACATAAAAGAACATGCACAAAATGTTTGAAAGAAATTCTTCTGGAAAAAATGTACTTTTTTATAGAACACCACTTTTTAGGACAAGTAATAATTTATTTCAACAGTATCAATTATAAAGGACTATAATTTGATCATTTTCTTTAAATTCCAGAAGACTGGAAAAATAGTCAAATAATATTTTCTCATTTTACAGCTTTAGTCACTTCTGGCTAGATGATACCATAATATCAACAGCATTTCTTACTAAATTTATCAAAATATTTTCCATTGCTTAATAATGTTAGCTGCCCCATTAAGGAAGAAAGACATTCCCTGAAATAAAAATAAAGATTATCTGTTTAATCAATTAATTTATATGATTTCATCTCATTTCACACAGGTAATTCTGCATGGCATTCAAGAATTAAAAACATAAAAACCCACAACATACAATCCTTGGCTCCCAGGTATATTCTAAAAAATGGGCCCGAAACCCCTGGGCTGTGACCTACGAGTGTGCCATGAGCGACTGAGTCATTGAAATGGCAGTTGAGCATATGTGTGAGCGGTGGGTGCAAATGGTGCACCCACTGCATCAGTGATGGGTTGCAGGAGGTACGCCCCTGTATGAGTGTACCGGTGCCTTCTGGGAGCACTGGGTACTGTTCCAGTACGGGTCTCCAGAAGGCCCATTCGTCCACCTGAGCTCCTTACTTGTATTTGACCTCTTTGGCGCTTCTGCACACATAGCATATGGTGCCTGCCTGATGCTCCGCTGAGCAGCTGGAGTATCGTGGGGCCTCATGGAGTTAAGGATACATGCGTGTGCTGCATGTGGGGGACACTGGGCCCCATTGCACCGTACCGGTTGCAACGGGATCCAGAACCCACCACTGGCATGCATGCTTGTTAGCCGCTCATGAGGAACCATCCCATCTCTTTCCATCAGTCCACAAAGCTGGAAAGGTTAGGGTTCTTGAGTCTGTTCCTGAGCCCTGTAATTAGATCAGCCTTCTTTAGGCCTTCTTTGCTAATAGCTTGCTCCTATGTCCTGCCCAGAAATATAACAGTTTTTGAGATGTTCTATTTATAGTTTCATAAAGAATGTAGTAATTGTGATGGATTGTGCCTATGAAGGGGATGTAGTGTGATGGGCCAGGCAAGGGGCCATACAAGGGACAACACATCCCAAAGTGTATAGGATGCAGATGAACAGAATTAGGATAGCCATTCCCTAGAGCAGGGTTGTCAAACTGGCGGCCCGTGAGCTGGATGCATCATGTGCAGGCCACGCCCACCCCAGCAGGGCCTGCATGGGAAATGGGAAAAACATCACAAATGTTGCATGATGGCAATGTGACATAGCAGGTTTGACACCCATGCCCTAGAATCTTCCAGGATATATCCCTTGGGATGGGAGTAGTAAAGGGTTAGTCTGACAAGATTCTGTCTACTCAATGTAAGCAAATAAAGAACTGAACTATGTTGCTTGATGTTATTCTTGTGCTAGGCCTTGACTTCAAAGGTTGGTTGCTATCTCTGTAGCAGAGGTAGGTTGCTCCTGATTTGGCCCAGATCGGGTGAATTGGTAGTGGCGGTGACGGGAGGCTCCGTCCACCTGCCCGGACACTTCTGTGCTTGAGCAGAAAGGTCATGAGCATGTGACCCTGCATGCGTGAACCGGTAGTAAAAAAAATGCTACACTGCTTTGTAGCAATGCTTTGGAACTTTGGAAAACCCATTCATTGAAAATTAGACATCTGTTTTTTATATGTGCTCAAATTTGAAGTGGAATAATAATCATTTTAAAATCTTCTCACCCTCTTCTAAATCATTCTTTACCATTGTATTTTATTTAATACTTAAATATAAAGAATTACAAAAGCCTTCTGCATCCCATCTACTATATGCTTTAAAAACAGATATAATAGAAATAGAGAAACTAAACAGAGAAATGGAAATTCCTTTTCTGGTAATATTAGAATTCAGTGTCAGCAAATGAAATTGATTGGCAACACATTCAAGCCAGGCAAAATTTCTGTTCAAATATTATTAGGCTCCGAAGACCTACCAAGACTCCCAAGACGTGACAATTTTGATGACCATTCTATATAGAAATCTACATATATGGGCAATTGCAAACTGTTTTACACAGTTTTAGCTAGCCATGTTGAGGTAAATGATTAGACATGTGATATGTCCTACATAAAGCTACAATGATGACCATCACAATATATGGCCAATAACCCAAATTACTTTATAGAGGAGTTCGATGAATGTGTAGAGGACTCTTAGCAACCTAATGATGGTTGATAAGAGAAGAGAACATTATGGAAGTTCTTTAGGGAAGCACCTGAGTGTGACAAACAGATTGCTGAACCGAATATTTCTTCAATCTGATTCACATCAGAACTCTTTATCTGTGCTTGCCTAATGTACCAAACCAGCTGCTGTAAGACTTCTAAGCACATAATGCTTACTTCCTTTGTTCTAATGCTAATTGCCTCCAATACAATTTAAGGAAACCATTCAGAACAGAGAATACTTTGCCTAAAATGGCATGCATTGTTTTCTATAAGACTGAAGTCTATTAAAGTTAACATTACAACGCAACTTTCTGAAAAAACAGCAACAATTAAAACCCACATGGACAACTTGCCAGAGGGGTTTAAGTCTCAAAAGAGTTCCCTGCCATCCATGCTGGTTCTGTTATATATCCTTCCTGCCCCTTAAAACAAAGTAACCTTCCACAATTACAAAACTTGGAAAAATTTTTGTCATCGCTCAGAAGTGTTATGTTCCTATTTGGCTGTCTTGCAGCAGAAAATAAACACACACACACAAATATTGTGTTGCAGAACTTTATCACTACTTTTATGAGAGCAGCATCAGTTCTATCTTATCAGATGAATTACCCCACGAGGAATGGAAACGTTAAAAAGACTTGGCCTTTGAAGGGCAAGCAGATGAATTTAAGGAGGAAAATTATATTTTGATATTGTGAAAGAGGAAATAAGATTGCCTGGAACTGTTAGTGGCTGAGGCTTTTTCCCCGCTAGAAATTCAGAATCAGACTGGAGTAAGCCAGGAATTTATGGGCCAATGTGGAAAAAATTTATTCCAGACACAGATTTTGTTTTATACTGTTGCAATTAATCCAGATGAATAGTGTTTGCTGTATTTACATGCACTTCACGTGCCAAAGAACTCCAAAACATGTCCCGTGCTGTTGAGTTTACAGTCTCCTCATGCAAACTTGGGAAGAACAAATTAAGTTTGGAGGTCCACGCAGGAAAAAAAAATTTTTTTTGTATAAAACTTTGGTGATATGCACTCTAATAAAACATGTCACAGTTAAACTGTTTGGAGTGTTAAGTTTTTAACAGCAAAATGTTTAATGTTATGAAGTCATGAAAAGGAAGCAGAAGATTTGAAAAGGTTTTAAATAAAACCAGAACTCCTCAATGCTTGATTCAGAAGCTTGTTTCAAATGTCAGATGTTTGCCCTGGAATTTATTTTAGTAGAATGAAAGACGACCACCTATGAGTATTTTTCTGAGTGCATTTCTATCACCACTTAATAGTCCAAAGCTAGCCATGATGATTCATGTAACATTAATGGGTCACATTTTCCAGTTTGGTTTCCAGACATTATTAAACCACCAGAATTTATCTTTTTAGAAACAAGTTTTCCATCCTGGCAAGAAACAAACTTTGTTAGTAAACCATAAATTGTTCCATATATATGTGGGGACACACAGAAAGAGAGAGCGACAGAGAGAGAGAGAGAGGGAGGGAGAGAGAGAGAGCTAATAATTCTATTATCAAACAATTTTTTTCAGAAAAAAGAGGGATTTTTAAAAATCTCATTAAGTATTAAAAAAAACACCTTTGAGAAGAATAAAAAAAATAGATTTGCCTACTTTGATAAGTGGTACCACTTATCATTCATGTCCACAAAATATATAGTGAACTACTGTTATGCTGGGGTGAACTGATCCCTATATTTAAGCTGTAGCAAAGAGAATGGCAAATAGCATTAAAACCAAGAGTTATTCTATGGCCTATGATTTTATAAAAAGTGTTCTACAACGGGCTTAGATATTGGCAAAAACATGATTTTAATGATTCCAACTCTGAAATATGATGCTATTGCAGAATGGACAACTTTGATAAAAAGAAAATTTGTCCCTTCCTAAATTTGTATGTCTCTGAAGAAAGAATACTGTATATCCAGATATCTATAGCTACCAAACTTTGCATTACACTATTACTAAGCTGTAAATTTAGAGTACATATGAATTTGATTAAATTAGTAATTGACACAACTTTTGTAACTTACAATGGCCATTACCAAAATACAGCCTCTTCTCATCAGAGCCATGTTTTGATTTATTATGTCCGCAGAATCTAAAAGCAATAAGAGATAAGAATATTAGAAACATATTATAGACAGCTATTTATGTAAATTTATGTGCAACACAAATATAATATTTCAATATTTTATCTAAATATCTTAAAATTTATAGTCAATGAACCCTACAAAGCTGAGGTAAATTTATGGAAATATAAGGAGGGAATATAAGAAGTAACATATTGATTTTTCATTCATTTAGTTTTCTGCACAATTGTCTATAAATAGTTGTTTTTAACAGTTCAATAGGACTAGGGCTACTATAGTTAATAGGCCATGTTATGTACTCCTCTATAACTTTTGGCTCAGAACATGGCAGTAAAGACTAGATCATTGTATTTCCAACTGTGTCAACTTTTCATTTCATAAAACTATTTTATATATTTCTGTAATTAATTTTTAAAAATATACTGTAAATATCTATTTTGAATGTACTAAAGTATAAATTTCAAATATTTTTTTCAATATATGTGTATACATTTTTAATTTTTACATTTTAGCTTTGGGTATCAATTTTGAACTGAGAACTGCAGAGCAAAATTCA